CGGCTTCTCCCACAGTGGCAGAGCCTTGAGGAGGAGATGGGGGTGGTGTTGTGCAAGAGGCCTCATCGGGCATATCTCTTCTCTCAGTTCCTCTTTCCTTACCCTAGTCCCTCTAGCCTGGCTTGTTTGGCTTGAGTCTGCTGCTAAACATTTGTTTTTTTCTACTTGCAATTAAGCAAGGTTTTTTTTTTTGCAGGAGCCCAGTATTTCCCTTCTTCTTCCTCATCTTGGCTCTCCAGGGGAATTGGAGGAAAAAGAGACATAGGGGTTGGTGTTCTTCCTGGTAGGAAGGCACATTGAAGTTCTCCCACCTTGATTATATACAGTGAGCATGAATGGAAAATGCGTGGGCCAATAGGCTCTTTGTTGTTCAAGGACATATGAAAGTTACTGCATGGATGGTAGATGAAGGCTTAGATGTAGATTTCTGTATCCTTAGGAGGCTGAATTCATCCAGCCATTGTTAACTAGACCCTGGCATTGGCCCACTCTGTATTCAGTCTCCAGTCTCCTTTGTAATTTCTATCTTCCAGAAGCATCAAGCACTAAACAACAATTTTATTTGTTAAATCAGAGTCTGGTCTGAATGCAACATCTTCACTCCAGTGATGAGTAACAGTTACATGACATTCTCAGTCCAGTAGTGACAAATCTACGAATGTTCTGTGACTGACTGAAGTACAGAACAATTGGTGAGTAAGTTCTCTCACATGTACCAGATGATTGTCTTTTTCTGAAATCGTGCTGCAAAAGCCCCCACTACCATAAAAAAGTTCCAGCACAGGACACATTTTTAAGTTCAGCACCGCTCTAAGAATAGCTACCAAATTAAAATGTTAAAGCTTCTTTAGTTTTTTCATCGTTTGTGTCTGCCTGAGCGGGATCTGAGAAACTGGGAAAGTGCGGGGGGGGCATGGAGTTGACAGGAGAGTGAGGCACGTCGAGAGTCAGAGAATGGGAATACAGTGTGGGGGGGTTACACAGAGAGGGAAAGGGGACGAGCCTTTCGGCTCCTCCAGAGGGTTGGAATTCCTCCCGAGCTGTTCCCCCCATTTGGCAGGCACTTGTGAAAACAATTCCCCAGCTTTTAGTCACTCTGCAGATCCAATTGCCATTTCCACTTTGGAGGGAACGAGAGTGAGAGGCAATCCAGATAGACAGAACACAGAGAGAGAAAGAGAGAAGAGTTTTAATCGGGTTGGACAGATGCCGAGGCCAGTTGAGCGGTTGTGCGATATTAATATCTTATGAAGGCTGTCTGGCAGAGCAAGCTCACCGTCTTGTGTGGTTTTGTGTTTGTGCGTTGCAGCAGCGGCCATTGCAGAGGCTAAATGAAGAACTTGTGAACATGCACGAGGGAAGGACTCTACCTTTCACTTCGGTGACTTCCCCAGATGCTCTGGCCCAAAGAAAGATGGAAAGGAATGGGAAGAGTAAGACACTTAACTCATACCTAGCCCCCTATACTGCTTTGCTTTTCACTGTGTAATTAATGGAATACAACTGTTTAATTCAAGTTTTTTCTTATCGATAGCTCACATTGCAGACCATACTTACGTGCAGTGTTAAAGACCAAGTGATGAACATGCCAAAATATTTAGTTTTCCATTATACAAAGCTACACTGTATGTGGAAAATAATGTGCAAGTTAACATCTGTGTATCTCTGCCAAGTGTGCTTTCTGCTCTAGCTAAAGGAGATGAATAGGCGTAGTAAACAAACCTCCTGCTCTTCCAGACTTGAGCCAAGGCTGCTGCACAGCACCCGTTCAGTGAGCCAACAGGAGATCCTCCATACGCCACGTCGCTGAGCCTCTCACCATTCCCTTTTGACCCCTCGACCTACAAGCGCCATGACCTCTGAGCTGGAGAGTAGCCTGACTTCAATGGACTGGCTCCCCCAGCTCAGCATGAGGGCAGCCATCCAGAAGGCGGATGCGGGACACCACCACGCCCACCACCATGGACACCACCACCACGCCCACCACCACGGGCATGGGCCTGGCAAGAAAATCACCCATCTGGACCCAGGAACAACACTGGACCAGGAGGAAGCTGCACAGCACAGAGACGGTAAACCTCCCTATAGCTACGCCAGCCTCATCACCTTTGCTATCAACGGCTCGCCGCGCAAACGGATGACCCTCAGTGAGATCTACCAGTGGATCTGTGACAACTTCCCGTACTACAGAGAGGCGGGCAGCGGCTGGAAGGTAAGACAAGAGATAAAATATTTAAGAGTCTTGCTGTTTAGGGTTAAGCTCCTATAGCTTGGGTCTGGTTCTAGGATGATGAAATATAGGTATTTGTTAAGTT